TCATCATTGTCCTTTTTATCATAATCATCACCAACAACAATAATTATCAAAAAAGCGAAAAAAACACACAAAAAACTCCACCTCTTCCTCTTCCTCTTCACCCTCCCTTCCTTCCCTCCTTCTTCCTCCTTTACACTCGAGGCGTTTCCTTCCATGAAACTTTTCGAGAATCTTCCTGCCTCCTTGACCTTTCTCAACGTCTGGGCTGGATTCTTTAGACGAAGAGGAGGAGGGGGAGGAAGAGGGAGAAGGAGGAGGAGGAGGAGGGGAGAAGGAGGAGAGGAGGAGGAGGAGGAGGAGGAGGAGGAGAGGAGGAGGAGGAGGAGGAGGAGGAGGAGGAGATAGAGGAGGAGGAGGAGGGGAAGAGAGAGGAGGAGGAGGAGGAGGAGGAGGAGGAGGAGGAGAGGAGGGGGGAGGAGGAGAGGAGGAGGAGGAGGAGACGACGACGACGACGAGGTGGAAGGGGAGGGGAGAGGAGGAGGAGGAGGAAGAGGGAGAAGGAGGAGGAGGGAGAGAGGAGGAGGAGGAGAGGAGGGAGAGAGGGAGGAGGAAGAGGAGAAGTAGGAGAGGAGCGAGGAGGAGGAAGGAGGGAGAAGGAGGAGGAGGAGGAGGAGGAAGAGGAGGAAGAGGAGGGAGAGGAGAAGGGGGGAGGAGGGAGGAGGAGAGGAGGAGAGGAAGGGAGGAAAGAAAAAGGGAGAGAGGGAGGAAAGGAGGAGGAGGAGGAGAGGAGGAGGAGGAGGAGGGGGAGGAGGAGGAGGCGAGGATAAGAAGAGGGAGAAGAGGGAGGGGGAGGAAGAAGAAGGCAGACGAAGAAGGTGAGTGGACGGATGAGGAGGGGGGGGGCAGAGGAGGAGCAGGATGAGAAGAAAACACGTAAGGAAAAGCAGGGAGGAGGATGTGGATGAGGAGGAGTGGAGGTGAGGAGGATGAGGAAGAGTAGGACGATGATGAATGATGATGATGATGATGAGGTGTGAGGGGTGGAGGATGAGATGAGAATGAATGATGATGATGATGATATATGATGATGATGATGATGATGATGATGATATGATGATGATGATGATGATGAATGATGATTGATGATGGATGAGATGATGATGGATGAAGGAAGAGGAGAGGAGGAGGTGGAGGTGGGGCAGGAGGAGGAGGAGAAAAAGAAAGAGAAGAGAAGAATAAGAAAAAGAAGAGGAAGAAAAATAAGAAAAAAGAAGAGAAAGAGAGAAAGAAGAAAGAAAAAGGAAGAGGAAGAGAAGAAGAGAAAGCAAGGAGGAGGAGGAGGAGGAGGAGAAAGGTGAGGGGAAAGGACACAGCCGGAGGGAAAAGTTGCAAGAAACGGCCAGAAGAGGAAAGAATAATGAAAGAGAAGGAGGAGTAAAGAGGAAAGTTATGATGAACAGAAGAATAAAGAGGGAGAGGGGAGAGTGACAATAAAAAAGGAGAGAATGGAGAGGGGAAAGAAGGGAAGGAAGTGAAGGGGAAAGAGAATAGGAAGAGAGAAAGTGAAGATGTAGATGGCTAAGAAGAGAGAATGGGGGAAGAAAAGAAACAAGATAAAGATGAGAAAAAAGAGGCTAACAAGTAGATAAGAGGGGAAAGGGAGATGGAAAAAGAAAGAAAAAGGTGAAGGGGAGAAGAGAAGGAAATAAAAAGAAAAAAATAGAAGAGGAATCAAAGAGAGAGAAGACGACGAAAAAAGACAAATAAAAAAAAAAAAAAAAAAAAAAAAAACGGAAAAATGAAGAAACAAAAAAAAAGAAAAAAGAAATAAGAAGAGAAGCAAGAATTGACGCGAGAGGATAAAAGAGGAAGACGGAGAGGAGAGAGAGGAGCAGAGAGAGAAGGAGAGAGGAGAGATGAGGCGAGAAATGGACAATTAATTGATAGATTTACTGATGGAGAAATATAAACCAATTATAAGATGAATGAGAGTAAATTAAGCAATAAGTAGCCTTGTAGATATAATTACTGTCTATGCCCTAACTTATTATCATGGTGATCATTGTCATTATTATGTAATTAGGAAGAAAAGTGCAATGAAGTTAGAAAGTGTCATGACGCAGAGTGATATTGCTGAGAGATGAGAGAGAGAGATAGTATTCAGACGCAAATGATAGTGAGGGAGCAAGGGATGGGGCGGGATCACCCATGCGATATTGAGTCACAAGAGAAGCTCTAGATGTTACCGCGCACTACTACGCACGCACCCCGCCTCTGGTGCGTCTGCTCTCGCTGATCCTCATACTTCTTCATTCCTTTTGTTATTCTTCGTTTTGATTTTATTATTCTATTGCTACATTTTTATTATCTTTATTTTCTCTTCTGTTGTCATATTTATTTATTGCTATTCTTTTTTTTTTTTTTTTTTCTTCTTCATTCTTCTTCCTTCTTCTATCTTTCGTCTTTCTATCTTTCTATTCTCTCGTTCCTATTTCATTCTTCTCTCTATCTTTCTTCTTCCTGAATCTCTTTCTTCTTCTGTCTTCTTCTTCTTCTTGTC